ACAAGTATTTGATATCCCAATCCACAACAAAATGTACTACTTCGTTATTTGGTAATGAGATAAATGTTAAAGCAACCTTAATGGCTCTTTGGTAATTTTGTGTATAATTGATTAATCAATATAAAGGACAATTAACATGTATGTGAGAGAGACATGTTTAGGGATTTCCCAAGGCCCAGCACTTGTAGAAATAAACAAGTGCTACTCTGTAAAACTAGGGACATGAGGACCTGTTATCTTATTACAGTAAGCAGTACACATGGACTATACATGTAGATTGGATATAACAGATCCAGGATAAACTTACCAATAATCACAACATACAATGTACATGTTGCACTGTCCTGATTAGGGACCATAATTGTTGGGTTATCTTCCATAGGCTACATCTTACTGAACCAGCAGGTGGATACATGTAACTTTTCTAAAGTAACTGTTTAAACCCAGTGTCATTCAAATCGAGAAAAACGGATACAATTATTATTCTTTGAATTACCCCAATCATAAATCAATGTGTGAGGTATTCTAGTTCTAATGGTCCGCTTGCTATAATTAATTTTTCAAAGGTCAGGAAGCTACGAGAGTATAATCATCATGTTTCCCCGCGTTTAGGCAGACGCTGGTTTCGAGTTTTCAGATCGGCCGTAGCTATCAAGGGACCAGAAACATATATTCTCAGTGCAAAATCAAAAGAACCTGTTTAGATATGAGATGAATTAACACCCAGTGTGGTCTAACTAAAAGTAGTTTAGACATAGATAGACAATAATTTAAATCTAGCGATGTATGGTCATGTATAGGACATGTAGGAGAGGAGCGCGCTCCGTAGAACACACGTAGCTTAGACACCGTACCGGCGCGCCAGGGATGCGCGTTCTATTTGGTGTAAATTTCTGCCTTTTCCCGTAACATGGCCTGACGGAATTTCGGGGGAAACCCGTTTCTCCCTCGAAATCAAAAGTAAGTCAACTACTATCAGAAAGTTTAAGATTTGCTCTTTCTCAGCCAACAAATTTCCTCTTGGCGCGAAACCTGCATCAAGGTGAAAATACACGGGGAAATTGCACTAAAATTGCTTGCCTACTCCCGTGACATGGCCTTACCGAATTTCGGGGGAAACCCGTTTCGCACTCGAAATTGAATATAAGTCAAATATCGTCAGAAAGTTTAAGATTTGCTCTTTCTCAGCCAACAAATTTCCTGTTGGTGCGAAATCTGCATCAAGGTGAAAATACACGGGGAAATTGCACTAAAATTGCCTAGTTTCAGGTCATGATATCGACAGGGGAAAGGTACATTCTCGGCTCCAAAATTCATTGGGAGCAAATTAGGAAGGCTAAATATTATTAATAAGTTACAATAAGGAAGATATGTGATTGTATAATCCCGCGGTAAGCTTTCTTGTGAGGCGAGTCGACGCCCGGAGCCGTGGAACGGACTACTTTCTCTCGCGGAAGGAAAAGAGAAACGCATAGAACTCTCGACGTGGCTTTCCGGCTGTTTTATGTACCATTTTCAGAATGATTTACGTAAATGTATAATATCTATCATAGATCATTTCTGGGCAAGGGCTTCTCTAAAATTTAGTAGAAGTCTTTCTTTGCACCTCCTTTCCTTTCATTGAGGGAAGACATTTTTCTTAATTTACCAGTAGACTGCCTCTCATTTTAAGAAATACTTGATGCTTAATTAAGCACAAAGTATTCAGTTGTAGACGTTATTACTCCGTGAAGGAGGTCAGGACCTCCGGACGGAGTGTTGTAATCGGCTGATTTTTCATGTTCGCAGTCAAAACACTGGGTTCTCTTTGTGTAATCGGCACGCAATTTTATACGCCGTCTGCGGGCATGCCCGTGTTGATGCATGAATGTGTATTTTTGCCGTTGCTGCTTTCGCGGTCAATGTAATATCGCAGACGCACCCCTACAATTACGACGTGAATTGGAATGGTCCAGAAAAACGCGTTGTTTGGAATAGCAGTGGGGTTCAAAAAAGTTCATGCAGATACGGGGTGGTTTTTATAAGTGGTTCCAGATGTTTTTGCCCATGGTTAAGAGATGCCAAGTTTTTTGGACGATGTTCGCAGCCAAAACGCATTCTTCCGTACGTCGCATTTCTGTGTAATTTCGCGTGTGGTGTTGCATTATGTCCGGGATGATGCACGTCTTTTTATTTTTACCGTAGCTGTTTTGATATTGGAGTAAATGCTTATTTTCGAAACATCCCCATTTCTTTGAAATGGTTTCGTCCGTTTATGCAACTGTTACTGCGCTAATGACGACCAGTCGCGCCGTCCTGATACACCGCGAATGTGCGAGTGTTCCCTGTAGACAGTCCCGGGAGTCATTTTTTGCACATTCCAGGAGCCAAACCAAAATACGTTCATGAACCGAGTCCAAAAACCGAACGTGAAAATCGGATGATCGGACCTGATGTACATTTCTCTTTCTATAGATTGT